TTTTTTCCTAAACTTTTAATCCAGTGATGGAGGGTTAAAAGTATTAAATATCTGTAAAGTGGTGCTCAGAATTTATTTGATAAAGTTTACTTGATCTCAGGTGTTTGTGACGGTAATTCTTTGACAGATGCAGATTATGTTGTGTTTGGGCACAAACCAGTTCTTTAGATATGTAAAGACTTTAGGTTGACACAAGCATGGCTCAGTGATACAATAGTTACAAATTATTTGGTGTGATTCTGGTGTGAATGTGAAACCTTAAAAGGACCAGCAAAATGTCAAACGAGCTTTAATTTCTTTCTGGATCATAACTAATGAGAACTAGATTCATCAGGTGGTTGTCAATCTAAACATGGCTTACAAGAGTCTTGGCCTTTCCAAGCTGAACTGCAGACATCCTCTAACCTGTTGGTGGGAAAGAACCTTAAGGAAAGACTAGCTGGTCATTTCAGTTTTATTAATCCTCAAAAGCTTATTTACATGTTTTAAACTTTTTTTAGATTTTCTGTGTGGGCATATGATTGTGTCTGTTGACATTTATTCATAAAAAGAAGAGAGTATCCTTGAACTGACTTCGTAAAATCTGGCCTTTGGTGCCTGCCCTTTCAAATGTTGTTGTGCCTCCGTTCCCATGAATCCTAGGAAGCACAAGTATAAATATAATCTTTAATGAAAATACAGATCCCAAGTAGTTTAATTGTTATTGTGAGATCATTGGAGCCTATGTTTCTTGGTAGTGTTACTATATTAAGTTCTGGTAACTTTAACAAAGCTTTGTTTATTAGTTCAAGTTAAATCCAGTAAAATTGCTTTGTCTCCTTGCTATTCTAGATTCAGGGAAGAATGTTCAGCTGTTGTAACTGCACAATATCATAAACAAAGTTGTCTGATTTGTTTTAAACTTGCAGAGTAATTGTACTTCTGTTCAGCTGCTGACAAGCATGAGGTTTGTATGGTTTTCAGTTTTTGTGCAAGTATAGAAGTACATTTGAGTGATACAGGGGACGAAAGCATGTTTGCAGTGGAAAACTACTTGCAAGGTTTTTCCCTGTGTGGAAGGACTACTGCTGCTCCATGATAATGGGAAAGTTGTAGCTATTTTAAGACTATGATGGAGTGTTTTTTTGAATTGTTCGTGGCAATATTGCTTTGGGAGGTTGCCAGAAGCTGCTTCTACAATTCGTCAGAAAAAGAAATAATATTATAAAAGGAAATATTTCATGTTCATTTTAAATGTTTTTGAAAGCTTGTTTGCTCTTTTGATATAGAGGAATCCACTTCTTTAAGGGTGTGTCCTTGTTCGATGGGTACTTTTAAATGAGAACTTAATCTTGTCTGTTGCCTGAAGGTCACAGAAGCATAGAGTAATTCAGGTTGGAAGGGACTTCAGGAGGTATCTAGTTCAACCCCTTGCTCAAAGCAGGATCAGACAAAGCTGCTGAAAGCTTTATTCAGTTGGGTCTTAAAAACCTCTCGGGATGGAGACTGCAGCCTCCCTGGGCCCTGTTTTCACTGTCTGGCTGTCCTTAAGGTACAAAAGTAGAGGTGTTTTTTCCTTAAATCGAGCTGTAAGCTGGTTTGTTTTGGTTTCTGTTGTGCCTTGTCCTCCCATCACTCACCGTTTCGAGGACACTGGCTCTGTCTTCTCAGTGTAACCACCTCAAAGGGCCTGGTGGGCAGCTGTGATGTCGCGCTGAAGCTGTCTCTTCTTCAGGTTGAATGATTCCCAGCTCCCTCAACCTCACGCTGTAGGGCATGTGCTCCAGGTCCTGGTCCTCTTGGTGACCCTCTGCTGAACTTGCTGCAGTTTATCAATGCCTGTCTTGTACTGAGGTCCAAAAGTGGACATTGTTCTAAATGCTGCTTAATGGATGTTCTATACTGTCAAGTTTAATTACTTGACCATAGTTTACTTACAGAAATCAAGGAAACGTGGGTGGTTATAAATGTGCTTGTTAGTATTTGGGTTTTTCAAGTGAGATTGGATTTCAAAGTGTAATTTCGGTAGCATTAAATAAATTTTTCTGCTTACATACTAATGAAATAACTTGCATTAATTTTAGTGAAAATGTATGATAGACTTTAAATAAAAAAATCTGACAGATAACACCTTACCTTCAATCCATATTTATTCAACTTAATTAGCTCTGAATAAGTCTAATTTGCATCATTGAAGTGTTGGAAATGAAACAGAGTAGTTGGTTGTAATTCTATAATGAAATATGCTATGGAAATGGAAGTCAGTGAGTGAATTTCTTCTCACTGCAAAGTATGTGTAAAGAAATCACTCTGATGGAAAGTTGGGGGAGTTTTACACAAAACAAATTTGTGTACACAGAAACAGGCACACAAGGTCTGCTCAGACATCTTGTTTGTTTGAAGTGGCAGCGTGGAGGGGATGTGAGCTCTGCCCCACGCTGCTGTCAGCTTCTACAAAGAAAAATTTTTCTGAGGATCCGACAGAATTTCTGCTTTTTCCATTTAATTTACACTGAGGTTTGAAAAAGTTACAGTCAGTGTTCTGGAGTCCGGTGATTATTTCAGAATCATAACTCACCGTATGTAATGCTAACGTTCAGCCAAAACTTAGTGAATGTGCAGTGAAGGAGGAAACAAGGTAGAAAGCAAAGCAGGAAACAGAAGACTTGTAAAACACTTCATACTCTTCCCTGCGTGAGCAGCAGAAGTACTCTGCGATTGGAGGTAGTACTGAAAGGCATAAGGAACCTTGAATCCAGCCTTTATTCTGACGAGCTCAGGCAGCAGGAGCAGTGACAGGGGTGGTTGGTGCCGAGGTGAGTGCCCAGGATCCCGGGTGGGCTCGTGTGCCCTCTGCTGAGGCTCGTCTTTGGGTGGCTGTGCTGGTGGCGTCGCTGCGGTTGGAACATCAACAGCTTGGGTGTGCCTGTGTGCCTGCTGCAGTCGGCATTTCCATGTAGCAGTGCAGACCTGTTCAGGGTGCCACGTCTTTTAAAAGTCACTTTTCTGGGGCTGGTTTGTGCTCACTTGTCTGTCATGGTTGGGGCAGCCTTGATTTAAATTTATGTGAGCTCTAGTTAAAACCACTTTGTGTGCTGACATAGAAAAACGGGCTGCCGTGCCTTTGTCTCTCTGTCTCACCTGGTATTTCTCACTTAAAATATGAACAAAACCCACTTCCTATGGAAAACATTTTTAAAAAGCTTCTGAGTAAATATACCTTTTACCTTTGTAATTACCTGGTTATTAGAAAACTTAAGCTTCTATAAATTAAGGAAAGTCATCCGAACAAATACTGGATGCTCACAAGTTAGCATAGCAATATAGAAAAAGTTAAATCTACCTAAAGTTTTATAGTATGCAAGATATTGCAAAGAAGGAAAAACTGGAAATATCTTCTCTTAATCTTCTAAATTATGTAGTCAAAACATTAATGTCCGGTGTTGCAATAGTTTTTCTGTGAAGGGTAGTTTGAAAGAATGACAATTTAATGTTGATTGCTAATAGCTTTTCATTTAAACTGTTGGTGTTGCACCAAAATTAGCCCAGGACCCCTCTAGTTGAAGAAAGCTGAGACTGCCGGAGATCCAGAAAGGGATACGTCCAGGTGACAGGGTCACACAGGCTCTGCAGCATTCAAAAGCATATTTTTATTTTTATTTTTTCAACTTAATTTAGTTTCCTTTTTTTTTCTCCAGAAGGATGTAATTTTTCTACTGATAAGCTGTGTCACTGAATATTATGATATTAAACACAGTGTCAGTTTTCCTATGTTTTCTTTACGGAAAGCTTGGGCACAGTAAGCAGGTAACAAACCTGTAGAACATCAGGTGGTGGTTTTCTGCCTTCTTCCTGCACGGACACATTCCTGTTTTGTTATAGTAACTTCAGAGCATTTTGGATCCTGCAGCTTAAGCTGTCGCCCGTGTAGGACTGTTGCAGCGTCACTGTGAGCACACTGTTACACAGGACCATGGGCTGATTTGTCATGGTGCAGAGGAATCTGCAAACTCTTCTCAGTGTTGAGAGGGTTGAGAAAGTGCTGATTTAAGGTGACAATGTTTCATTTATGGAATAGAAGCAAAGATTGTATGGTCTGTAATAATTTTCTCCCCAAAACAAACAAAAACTGTTCAAGGTTGGTGTAGGATGTGAAATTGGCTTGATGAAGGGCGTGTGACTAGTGAAAGGGAAGTGTAATCTGGTACAAAGTTAACTGTTGGGAGTAACTTCAAATAGGATCGTTTTCCCAGAGTTTGTTCTAGAGATCTCCTGTGCAATATCAGGAAATGATTAAGATGATGAATCCTGTATCATGTGATTCTGTCTTCAATCAATACCATTAAAAAAAAAAAAAAAAAATCTGTCCTTTAAACATATCAAGGCTATTTGGACCAGAAGGCTGGATACTCCCCCTCCTGGTGTGCTGACTAAAGTTTCAGTTTAGGAAATGGAGGATTGTTTTTAAGTGCAGAAGTGCTGTGGAATTCCTGCTTTTTCTTTCTCTCCTGTTTTTGTTTTTTTTTTTTTTTTTAAAAAAAACTTCTTGAAGCACTTGAGTGTATTGACATGCTTGTGATTTCAAGATCTGTGCAATAATTTTATAGCTTGTTCCTGTTTTTCTAGATGAAGAGTCTTAATACAAATGCTCCAAGTAGGTTGTGTTTCATAGTATGTGTATCCTGTCACTTGAAACACGCACACTAATGTCTGTTGACTGAACTAATGATAGTATTCAAACAACTGAATTCCAAAATACAGCTTGAGTCAGAATATACCTTATAATAAGAATCAATCCCAGAGCTAGTAATGAATTTCGTGTTAGATTTGGGTGCTTTTAAATAGTGACCTTCAATTACAAGGCATTGTGTAATTTTTTTAAATTAATAGTAACTTGCAAAACATTCTGGCAGCACTTGATGTCTACCTGTGGACCTCCAAAGTCTAAATCTCTCCTGTAAATAGTATGTAGTGCAAGAGGAAGTTTAAGTCTCCAATTTGTGCTTTCTCATCAGATACCCAGTATGGCCTCATCATCAACACCTAAATATAATTCCAACTCCTTGGAGAGTTCCTCAAGTAAAAGGGTGAGTGTAACTTTTTTCATGTTTTTCATGTTTTTTATATCAGAGGTCCCAGAGATCATTATCTTCCACCTTTGGGTAGAAAAATGAGTATTTGAATGACTTTTTCCTGTAGTGTATATACTTATTTTTATTGCTAAAATTCTAAAGCAATCAACTAGCTTGATTTAAATATTTTTCAGAGTGGATGAGTGACATATTCTCTGTATCGCAAGTTATAAAACCTTCTTTAAAATAAATTCTAATATACTTACTCTCATCCTTGCTTTCTACCTTGAAATATTCTGTGACATTCTTGAAAAGTTTTGATGCTGTAGAAAGACTCTGTGCTGCAATTGCTGAGTTACACTTAGTTATGTGTGGTTGGCCCAGTTCTAAAGCGTTCATCTGTAGTGGGAAATACATTAAAGTGATCTAGATGGCATTCCCCTCTGCTTTTTGATGCTGTATGACTGGAGAAAATGTAACCTGTGTGCAAGAAAAGAGAAACTGAGGTTTTCTTTAGCTTTTTAAACGTTTCTTCAAAAACAAAGATTATTTTCTGTTAATCGTTCTTAAAACCTACTGAACGTGGGAAGAGTCACAAATCAGTGGATTGTGTGTAATAGTTGTGAGTACGTTGCTTAAGTGATTTCAGTTGATTTGTTCTTTCAAGCCCAGCGTACTTGGAAAATTAAATGCACAAAATTTTCAGAGAACTTATGGTATAGAAATTTAATTCCAATTTAGTGCAAATATAGTTAGCTATTCCTTTAGAAGAAGAAAGACTAAAAAAAGCTTATGTTTCAGATCTGTTCAACCTTTTTAGAAGAAAGACTGAAAAAAGCTTATGTTTCAGATCTGTTCAACCTTTAAATGCTTAATAGTTGCAGTTTAGGATGGTGTTGTGTGTTCCTGTTTTGGTGTCAATTTCTACTGTGGAAAAACCTCTTCTTTCCCATGCAGAAATTTCCTGTAAGTTTTTTTTTTTTTAATCTGGAACTTGAAGGAATTATAAATAAAATATGATGTGTGTTGTGCTTCTCTTTCTTTAGACTCTGAAAGACGGAACTAACTGGGAACAAAATGAAGAAATACCTCGTCTGCCAGGAGAGACTAGATTTACAGGTAAGAAGATATATAGGTGCCTAATGCAATATATGTTTAGGAGTCTGGCATATACATGTATCTCACTGGATTGTTTCATAATTCGGACTAGTTTGGGCTGGGGGCCAGGGTAAGTCTTGCTAAAATGTATTTTTTTTTTTTTTTAAAGAACTGTGATAGGGAGTTTTTATCACTTACCACAAAGAACTTTTTAAGTCTTTAAAATCTTGGTTTCCACACATGGTAGATCCTCTGATAAAAAGAAATTGCAAGTCAAGATTGTATCTGCAGACTAAGTGGCTTGTGTCTAGTGAGGAGAACCCCTCCAAGCTTTCCAAGTCAAGAGAATTCGACATGCCATGCACTATGTGGCAGTATTCATATCTTGTACAGTAGCTCAAAACCTTAGCCCAAAGTGTGACTACCCTAAGTACAATCCCATGCTTCCTTGACACAACGTGGCATGCATGCAGCCACTATTCATTTGTTCGCCTATACATACAGTGATGTTGAAGGTATTGCGTACCTTATTGTGTTTCTTAATTGGTAGAGGCTCTTGTTGGAATGGAGCCTTCCACTCATGGAAGTTGGTGTTGAGGTATCAGAATGCAATTGAAACTGGTCTGTCTTTTGTGAAGCTTCTCCTTCCACCTCGCCCGAGGATTTGTTAGGTGGGTTTGTAAACAAGATTGGCTGAGGTGAAACCAAAGTGGTGATTCAAAGGAAATTAGTTCCATTTTTAATTGAGAAAGTTGTGGGGAAGGCGTGAGGGGAGAGGGTGTGGGACTAAGATGAATGTTTGATACGATCCTTATGAAAGTTGTCTGTGCTTTGGGGCAGCACGCTGGAAGGAGGGTGCCTGTTGTGGAAGGCAGATATTGGGCTAAAGAAATGAGTGGACAGGGAGAAATAGGTGGTTTGTAGTGCTTCACTGAAGGCTTTAATGGCATTGTTTCAGTTAAATCTTACTTTTTTGAGTAGTATGTGCTAGTACTTGTTTTGTTACTGTCCTTGCTGAAACACTGCTGTATTTGATTGTCTCAAACTGAAATATAATGTTTCTCTTCAGGATGGTGAGTTCCCTAAACACTTTACAGCTTTAACTGTGTACTTCAATGCAGAATTGGTTACAGAGCACTGAAAAATGTAATAGTATCAAGAGAAGAATGCATTTGTTCTGGGATAGTGAATAAACTGGTTCAGTAAGCACAGAGAGGACTTAAATCTACTTTTTGTTCTATGTCCTGCCCTCTCCCGTGTAGTGCTGGGAAAGAGAAGAACATGAATGTAACTAGGGAAAGCTACTGAAATCTGCTGATTTAATTTGGGCAAGTTTAGTGTACGAAACTTTCACATTTTCTTAAGAAGTCAAGACAACATTCAGATTTATTACTTTTTAAATTCTTTCATCTCTGAGAGTGGCTCTTATGAGTGCAGCTCTCTTTATTTTGCTGCTACTTAACTGATGCTGTCCTTAGCTCTGATTTCTTTCTTTTCACAAGCATTAAGAAATGGTACATTTCTTACAGACAAGGATGTTATTTATATGTGTCCATTTAATGGCCCCGTCAAAGGAAGAGTGTACATCACCAACTACAGGCTGTACCTGAGAAGTGTGGAAAATGTGAGTAACATGCCACAATTACTTCCATGGGGTGAGTTAGCTTTAAACCCCCTTCCTTTCACCCCCACTGCCTTTGATTTATTTTGTAGCCAGTTCATTTGTTTTAGTTTTGGCACACGTATGCTTGTGGAATTGCATGGGAGGCTTTGTACTTGAAATGTTCTGTAAGGTTTGTAATAACCAGATCTTAATTGTGTAATGACTAAATAGTAATTGCCTTTGTGCCGCTGAGAAACCTGTATAAAAATGGAAGTTCTTTAAAGTTAAATGTGTTGTCAAAGCGTGATTTTTTATTTTTTTTTTAACCTGGTAAAATTACAATTTAATCATTTACACTGAACCGATACCTTTGTCTTTTGTCTGTTGGAGCTTTTTTGATAGCTGTTCCCTTTACGCTTACTCTGTAATGGATCAAGGGCAGTAACTAATGATGTGCAGTGGTTCTTAAAATGGCTATCAGTGAACCAAGATTTTGATTGTCCTTGCTATTGAAAAAAAAAATTACTTTGATCAATAGAACCTCATATGGGTGTGGGGAGTAGTAGTGTGTTCGTTAAGCAGCAACATGAAAGAGGAAAAAAGTATGCTTGCTATCTGTTTCATAACATGCTTTGTTTGGGTTTTTTTAAATAAGGTTTTAGGACTATTGAATTGAGGTGTTTATGGTTGCATCTAACTCTTACTAATAATCTCTTTTCACTTAGTTTTACTTTATTCTGTGTATCAATAAGCAGCCTTAGCAAGCAGAGGCAATCAGAAGTATGTAGCAGCAGGCATCTCTTATGGTGCTGCCACCTTTCTTTCCCTGCATACTGCATTAGGCGTGAAGTATTTTTGTTGCGTGTTAAATCAGGTGATGTTCAAGGCTGCAGAGTGACTGTACAGGCTTAATGACATATTGGGAGGGAAGGCAAGGCTCAATCAAATGCAAACCCACTTTTGCTTCCTGTATGTATTTCGTGTCTGCTTTCTATTCTGGAACGCTTAAGAACGTTTTGCTTGAGTATTCTTTTCAGGTTAATCCTTTCCTTACTCAAACTTTCCTTGCAGGATCCAGTTGTGGTATTGAATGTTCCACTGGGTGTAATTTCAAGGATTGAAAAAATGGGAGGAGCTTCAAGCAGAGGAGAGAACTCTTATGGATTAGATATAACCTGTAAAGTAAGACTTTCCAATAATTCAATAGGAAATGAAATCTAGTGGTTCCTTTTCTCACTGTTTACCTATTTACAGGAATGAAAAAACACATCTTCCTCACAGCTGAATTTAAAAGAGGTTTTTGGAACTGGACAGAAATACCTGTTGTATAAATGGCTATTCAACTGTCCTCTGCATGCGAGGAGAGGGATCGATCTTCCTTTCCAAATCACTAATTGACAAGAGGTTTTGCACGGTAGTCTTGTTTTAGGGCATTACTCCTGCATTGCTTCATTATTTTATTTATTCTATAAGTAATTTTTTTATACTGCTAAAATCTTTGAAGGACAACTCAAACAGGGGTTTTGTAAGCTGTAAAGGCAGTGAAAAGCTTATGTAACAGCCGTCTCTGTTTCCTTAGTCTTACAAAAAACCTATGTTGCCAGGAGAAAATATGGTCATAGGGGAGTTCCCAGTGATAATTCAGCATCCTTTATTTGACTCGTTAATGGAGTTAATGCACAAATTGCTTATTTTTGACGTTAGTGATGAGAAAGCAGCTAGGGACAATGTAGTCTAGACAGATTATTGGCAAATTTTCATTTTGAAAACATGGAGTAGCTCCCATCCTGCAAACATTCAATAGCCCACGAGACTTTTCAGTGAATCAGACACAGTCATTTTGATGGCTTTATGCCAAAGCAGTGTTTACACCACACAGAACGTGGTACTGCTTTATTTGCAGAATTCTTATGCTCTCTTTTGTTTTATGGGGTAAGAAGTAAAACTGAACATTCACAATGGTTTGAGGTGTGTTGCAAGCAGATTCTGAATCATGTTTACAGTGTAACAATAGCACTTGTACAGCAGATAAAAGTATCTTACTGGTTTGGTTCTCTTAAAAGATAACGCCTTTGTTTCAGGACATGAGAAATTTACGGTTTGCGTTAAAACAAGAAGGGCACAGTAGAAGAGATATATTTGAAGTCCTCACAAAATATGCTTTTCCCCAGTCGCATAACTTGGTAAGTTACATCATTTATACTATTGAGTCATCTTAATGCAGAATTCTTGCCAATTAACTTTAACTGACCAACTAATGGACTTCATGGCTGCTTAAAAAGAATAACCACAGGATGTGATGCCAGCATAAACTAAAGAGAATTACTGTTTTTATTTGTACATTTAAAACACTTATGTCTGTGTATTTGTAAAGTTACGGTTGCTGTAAGTTATACCTCGGGTGAACTCTTGGGCACCTCTGATCCATACCAATTTCATTGCTTAGAAAACTGTGAGTTATCCTTCCTAATTAGGAAAAATAGTAGCGTATGCCTTACTCAGTTTCTTGAAAATGTTAAACTGTTGGGCAGTCTCCCAAGGCAATGATAAGTACGAATCACCAAGCGTTTTACTTCAGGAAGAGGAGACGTGGTAAGAGAACACTTGTTTTATTGATGAAAATGATGAAAAATATAACAGGCAGCTAATACAGTAATGAATTTAGAGAGATCTATTTTAGGTAAAAAAAACATCTTATGGAAGGAATTGAGAAACAATAATGTTAACTAATCATTATCTTCTTTTTCTTTGCTGAAATCTGTGTCCTGTGCTTGGTGGATCATTTCGACATCTCTTTAGTTTATGCTTTATTTTGTCTTTTGTAAAATTCGGTATACATCTTATTGAGGTGCTTTCATTTAGGATAATTGTATGAGAGCTCTCTTGACAAAATGTTGGAAGGTTCTGCTATGAATTTTTAAGAACTTTATTCAGAGACTTTGTGAGTATGTGAGGCTGCAGCAAGAATCTTATTTCCTTCTCTGAAAATACATGTCTATGTGCTATACACTATAAACATTTAATTCATTAAAACTTTTTTACAGAAAATTTGCTTTCTGTACACTAACAGTCTGTGTAATGAAAGCATAAGGAAAAATAAATGCTTTTGCTTAGAATATTTTGTAGTATTGACAAATAGGTCCTTAACAAATGAAACAGATTTTTATATTTAGGTAAGCGTGAGGAGTTGTACTCACAAAGAAAACTGTTGTAGAAGAAGTGAATGTGTCTCTAACTCGACTGCTGGCAGTTTATGCATCTCAGGATAGAGAATGATAAAAAGAATAACAGGGTATGCGGACTTCAGGTGGGATTTTGAAAGGATGATGGAAAAGAGAGACAGCTATATGTAGAAATACCAAATTACAGAGAAGTTTAGGTCAAAAGGGGCTTCTGGACATCATCTGGTCCAGGCTTCTGTTGCAAGTAGGGCTTTAGGTTATCTGGGGCACAGTCAAACTTAGTCTTGAATAGTTTGTGCGAGGTGCATTCCATCATATCTCTGGGAAATCTCATCCAATATTTAATTATTCTCATTGTGAAGAATTTTTTTTTTTCCCCTACATTGAGGACCTCTGTGGATTTGTATGGATGTGAATGTGGACAAATTAAGTTGTAACTGACTTAGTAGAGTCCCTTGTTGGATTTCTTTTTTTTTTTTTTTATGGTGTCTGATCCAACTACAGGGCTTGGAATAACATAATGATGAGGTGTGGACTTGTATTAGGTTTTGACATCCAGAAAGATCCGGTATTCCTGTCTGGTGATGCTAGTGAGTAATGCATGGAGTAGTACACTTCCTGCTTTATTTTTTGCATCCTGCATTACATGGCCTGGCCTATTTTGAATGTAACTTGCCAATAAAAATTATACTCAATAACAAAAAGCTTGGCCAAGGAGGTAGCTTTGCCTTCAGATTCAGTAAAGCACCAGACTTGGGAAGGTAGTAACAATATGGAGAATGGCCATACTTTTTATCTCTCAGCTATGTCTGGAGCATGGTATAACCATTAGAAATAAAGTGAGCCTATGTTACATCATGAAGTTGCACCTGTCCTTATTTTCTCATGTGACAATGTGGATGAGCCCTTAACTTTAAAATGGGGTAAGCAAGTATGTGGGATGTTTGGTGAGCTTTCACTGTGTTTCAGCAAACAGTTTAAGTTGATCCTGCTAAAGGTGGGAGTTTCTGCCCAATTGCTCA